ACGGTTTGCCGTTTAACGGTTTAGCTCACGATAACTTCATCAGAAGGGGTTAATCAAGACATATATTTATTCCATTTTTTTTTATAAAAAAAGCAAATTAATTCTAGTTGAGTATATCGCAAATATACAACTTAATACTAAATAGAGCTTTTTGCATTATTAATAATAAAATATATAGTACTGTACAGTAGGAGTTAAGAGTCTTTTAAAGAAAGAGTTACTATATATATATACAATATAGTTAAACACATAGTTCATTAATATTATATTATTATCTCCATCGATATAGTGGCCGGCTCCTTGACTTCAGCTATTTTAGTTGTACTGAGAACCTTAGTTATGAAATTGAGAGGTGGCCTGTTTGTGGTGATGCTGAAGCCAAATTCGTAATATAGTATCTCCATACCGACAATTCAATCGACCAGTGCCTACTAAACCGTTTTCCATTGGATTGTGAAATCCTGAAACGCAGATTCGCTCCACCTAAACCAGGCCTAGGCCTCGCCGATGTTGTGACAGAAGGCGATTTACGGAGTACTGGTGGCTACTTCCAAGCTCCTTTGATTGGACCAGATTGATTACTAAAATCTTGAAAGCTGAGCGGTGAGCTATAGCAGAACAAACATAACATATTACTTTGCCATTGTTTATCCGACATATTACTAGCGTTTATCCGACAATCTGCCCCGTCGATCTAAGATACGTGAACAGGAGTCTCTGCCATTTTTAGTACAAGTTCGACGATGATGAGACAATAGCTATAGTAGACTAAAGGAGCTTAAATACCATCAAGGACAATCCTATTAGGAAAGGCCTTGATGGCTTTCGCGCTTCTTTCAATACGATATGCGAAAGCGCAAGCTTCGGAAGACTGTCTTCCCTCGGGGCCAGCCCTGGGAATAGAAAATAAGAGACTCTACTCTCTTTAGAGAGATTCTCCGCAGCGGGCGGGAAGACCTGAAGTAATTTACATTAGCAGCGAAATACCATAAAATGATTAACAGTAGAGTAGGGATAATAACGGTTACACTACTCGCACATCACGACCCGAGATCTTCAATCAGGCAAAAACATATCCTCGACGTAAAAGAAGAGAAGTAAAACGAGCGGGCTACATGAATTCTACAACCGCCATTGTTAGCTCTTTGTCCCCCCAACGGGACCCTTCTCCTCTGAGTTCGAGATAGGGATAGAGGATATTGACGAGGACGAGGACAATACTCGGCGGAGCAAGCCCGAGGAAGTAACAGTTTGCTACATGTTTTCTCCAGCGTCCCTCGGAATTCTGTCTCCTGCAGTACTCTAACGAGTTCACCGAAGTCCGAGTTCGGGTGGAACACAGACAACGGAGGAATCTGTATAATAGGGTAGCAGGCCCTCGGCTGGTCGATGGAGTACCCGTACCTCGTAGAAGCTAAGAGGGCTTTTAAACGCGGCCGTTATCGCTAAACCGTAGGTCGCTAAGTACGAATTGCTTCCTGGCCTTGCAGGTGCTTAAAAATAACAACAATAGCGTCTTCGGTCGCAACCTTTTCAAAATACATGACCGCACTCTCGTTGGCCGCTAGCTTGGCGGAAATGCTCCTTCCCATATCCCGAGTAGTACTCTGTTGATAGAAGAGTCACTCGTTTCCACAGGCCCACCCGATCACCTCAACCTGTTGTTAACGTAATAAGTCCGTAAACTTGCTCCAAGGACGTAGCCACATAGGGTAGAACTTACCATCAACCCTTTGTAAGCCCCGTTGAGGACAATAGACTTATCGGCAAGCTTGAAGTTCTGGTAAAGGTAGGTATAGCAGTGCTGTAGATATTCATCTAGTATAGTAGACTGGTTTTCACGTACGAGCTCTTCTTTCTCGCGCCATTTTTCATCCTCTCTCACCTCCGCTACCTCCTTCCCGTACTTGAGCTTTTCGTTCTCACGTCGAAGTCGTACAATCTCTGTCTCAGACGTTGGGTACAATAGGGGTTTTACTTTGTGATGAGGATAACGAAGTTAGTTAGCTGTCAATCGATCAGACAAAGTGGTATCTCCATATCTCGGATAAAACCGGACATTGGCCCAAAAGGTGCGGTTGGAATAAGTAATATGCCCCACATCTGTAAAACCATTAGCTGAGAGGGATTTGACATATATCCCTCGTAGCGACTTACATTACCACAGGCAAATCCGCCTCACGTATCGAGTTACACAGTAGCCAACTACGCTCCGTCATTTCTAAACATCACCTCATCTCTTTAGCACTTCTATGAGCATGGCTATTTTCGACGAGATAGCAGAGAAAACCGGTGATAGTCAGTAGGAACGAATAAAAGAGGCAGGTCCTCATACAAGCGACGAGATTGCATTATTTATCACCCGCTGCCGGTCAGGCGGTGACACTGAAGTAATCGGCTCCTTCAACCTCTATCTTCGAGTCACCGCAAGGGCTATCCGAGAAATCAATAGAACCGCTACTTCATTTAATCTTTATACGTGTTCCACTTCTATACTAACCACTTGATAGGGCCATGTCCTGGTGAGTCCTCACGTTGTTCGTTATTGATTGTGCTTGATAGCCACTTGCGCCCCGCACTTTCACTCACTAGTGGCATTATCATAACCAGCGGCCAAAGCCCAAACACCGAGACCGTAGCCAAAAACTAGTGCGACGTCGCTTGAAGGCAACGGCGTTGGCAACGATAAGGATAAGGATGAGGGAGGAGATAAGGACGGTAGTGCCGGTGTAGGAAGACTAATTGACACCGGCATTGGAATTTCTGCTTCATTGGGCACGTTAGTTTCTTTTTATCTTCCTTGATATGCCTTGCGAGTATACGTTCTCGTCTGCAGAACCGCCACTGGTTCAGTATTACGCTAATAGTAGGTATCAAATTAGCCACCGAATGAAAATACAGAGCAAAGGTGGCAACAGAAGGAGGAGGAAGGCACGTACTCCAAGATACAATAACTAACAGCGGGCATCATGATCCTTTTTGAGCCCATGAATCTGCTTTAGTATTACATACATCTCTTCGCAGGTCCGCTCAACAGTAGCAGGCTTCCCGCCCTCATACTGCCATCTGCGAACGTCCCGCCACATCTTCTCATATCAGCGAAGCTTCTTCTATAGCTGGCAACACAAGGCGCAGACTTAAGGGTGTTACTCGGTCTCATAGACTAGCATGAGGCCACAAGTCTCGCCTATACGGTATTCCCTGTTGCACTGCTCATAGAAACAGCCCCATCACCAGTAGCTACATTCCCAGCGGATCTGGTAGTAGTAACACATACTTATACGTACAGTAGGAGGGGCTGGGATAGTAAGCCTGCAGGCCCGGTAAACTCGGTATGAATAGGAAAAAAGAAGAATAGAATAGGAACACGAATCTGAGGAGGGGATGAAAAGGCCATTTTTGTAGAGACAAGCCAACAAAACTGTTGGCTCTAAAGCATGTCCACGACCAACAACCCATCCTCAGTCTGGTGTGTGTGGATTCTCTCAAAGTTGTGCCACATGTTGCACCACTGGTGAGGGGCACAGAACAAAGATTCCTGAGCCCCGGAAATGTGACCTAGATGCCATTGCATCCCTGGGGCCCGGTTGCTCATAGCCAGCCTAGGATGGGAGAGGGCTGAAGTCGAAACAAATGTTCAAATGCGCCTCCATTCCTGGACTATGTTCTTGGCCTCCTCGAAGAATGTATCTTCTGGCTTGTTGGTTTACTGAGCACATGCCCTTCTTCCTCCTACGGTATAGCACACTATCTAGATATACGACACTAAATCAAGCTCATATACGACGCCGATGACCTCTCCCCCAGCCAAAAATGTGCTAAACCCCATATCGTACCGATTGTGGTTATCGGTTTAGGTATTTTCGGAGCTCTATTCGTCGATGAAGACAATCCTCCACGATGTCCGTAAGGACCCAAAAGCGGTAGCACGAGATTGTTCAGAGTTTGTTGTATAGACTTTGGAGTTGGTGTTAACGAGGTGTATGCCTACGTTCCAACCTCAATATATTCACGAATCCAACATCCATCTTTCGTTTGCGTATAGAATCATCCGTCGTGTCGTTCGGTTTCGCTAACGGTCTTCGTTAACGTGTCGGTATTGAGGTTTCACCCTGTGCAATTTTGCCAGCTGCTCGTTGATTTCTACAAGTCAGCTTTGTACATCCTCCTGCTTTGCGTCTTTTAGCCATCTAACCCAGCCATTGTCAAAGAGCAGCTAGGGGCCTTCATAGTACTGCTTGAAAAACTCCTCGGATTACTATCTCAAAATCAGGCACCCTCCTGAAGTATGCATCGTGGAATATAGGCAGCCCAACATATATTAGGCCAAGCTCCTCGTTCAGCGCCTCATCTGCATACTTCCAGTGCTCGGATGAGTTCGCGAAGCTGCCAGTACTACGCAGCACTGGTGTTTGTTATATAAAAGAGCAACCGGTCGAGGAGGTGGTATAGCTTGACAGCGTCGCAAAGTGTATCTCATATAAGCATCGCCCAGCTCATCCGAAATAGTGCATTTCAGTAGAAGTTTAATACAGTCGAAGTCGAGATCGGGAGATACGATTACGGATGTAAGAGTAAGGGGGCCATACCGTTCTAAAGTAAGTAGCGGCATATTTTCGAGCGAAATACAATGACAACACGGTGACATTGTAGAGAAGAGAGGAGAAGCAAATGGTTTCGAAGATCTAGAGATAGTTTTCAAGGTTCCCTAAAGAGATTACCTATCAAGGCCACTCCTAATAAGATTATACTTAATACCTTCTGATTGAACTTAGTGTACCAGAGGTTCTGCCGATTGTATTGCGTAAGAGATTTACAAGGGCCCGTGTTATAAAGCCGCGTATACGATACCATACACAGCCCCGCACTTCAATAAGCCAGCATTCAGCCACATGTTCGTCTGGAATAACCGACCCCAGCCACGCTATAGGCCATACTTATAGAAAAACATAAAACCAGTTAGTTTATCAAGACAAGATCCGCGAGGTCATTCTCTAACTCACGTAACTGTTGTCTAGTGGCTGATTACCAGCATTGTATGTGTATATATACACATACATATATATCAGGCTTTAGTATTAATAGAAGTCAAGAAGACCAAAAAAAAACAAAAAAAAAAAAAAAACAGCGAAACCAGCCTGCAAGATCTCGACTTTAGAGACAGCAATATAAGAGCCCTAGATAGTAGCCTCTCAATAATAATAACAGCAATTTTGAAACTGTCTGCCAGTTGATTTTGGAATTTGATCATGAGCAAATCAAAACTCTAAACGATCCTATACAAAAGGAAGGCTGTTTCTTTTACATCGAAGGCACTGAGGTGATCGAAGAAGATATGTATTTGCTGAAGTATTTAGACAATAGAGAGCATTTTTAGGTACCGGGTACGACTATAACATAAGCAACAATGCTAAGGCATGCGCCCACTCGGGTTATAGTCCCGAAGAGTGGAGGAAGATAGAGCTGGAAGAATGAAATAAGGACTAGGAAGCTAGGATCTCTTAAGAGCTGGGGACCAAACCAAAGGTGATAAGATAGTCCAGAGTCTTCATCATAATAAGGAAGAGGATAAAAAACTACTTTTCTTTTACCGTAAGGACAATAGAACCACGATTTAGGACGAGTTATATAAGGTTTTAGACTATACTACACTCAATGTATATTTCGCTAGCTCTGTAGAAATATATAGTCGATCTGGCGGTCCCTACCGTTGTTAAGAGGATAGTCTAGAAGGCAATTTACTATGTGCTTTACTGAAAACCGTCGTTTGATATACAAGATCAAATATCGCATCCACTGAACTTATACTACAGAGACTACTATTACACACTGAAATTCAAGTTATAGTTTCCCAATAGAGCCTATAAATTCCTTATACTCTTCCCATAGCATTATAACCTTCCAGGTACTATAATAATAACAGCGAAATTTCAAGGCATAATCTGAATATAATCAGTCCTTATTTTTAAAAACAATATCCCTGAATCTGAACCTTAATTTTGAAGCTCCGGTCCCTCTTTCTATCTTAATAACTTCTCTATTTAAAAAAGGAAATTGCTAAGAGTATAACCTTAAGTCTATAATAAATTTCTATCTATCTTGCTTCCGTTCGATTGGAAGAGATTATAGCTATACAACTATCTCCCTTTGGTTATCGAGATCAACAGTAAATATCCGACTTGAAGCAGATACAGAATAGTATCCAGCTACTACTTAAATAGTTTTGACTTTAGCTATTCTCAGCTTAAGCCTATTAATAAAGGGAATCAAATCACGAAGTACCTTCCAGTTAATAAGTACAGTATTATAGAGAGTAGTAATATTACAATAGTATTATAAAATACCATCAAGAAAAATAATATTATAGCGAGGATTAATCCTAACAGGAGATCTATACAGTAAGGGGAGTCTGTAAGTACTCCTCTGGGTAAGATTTCCACAGAGGATAGAATAGGACTCTTTTAAAATACAGCAGTAGGCCTCCTTATTAATACGGATATAAGGAGCATAAATTTAGTATATATCTCCTACTATAAACTCCCAAATAATATTTCGGATCTCTGGAGGAAGATTAGGAAACAAGGGAAACGATTTTCTCTGGCGAATAGAGATAGAGCCCCTTATAGCAAGCTCCCAGATCATATATTATATCTTCTGAGGAAGCCTTGGGCCCAAATGAAGAAAAAAGTAAAATAGCAGTACTCCCCCGCAATCGCCTTCTGCCTCTCCAGGCTCAGTGAGCAACAGCAGAGTTGATTTCCAGTCTTGGTAGAATATATCGTGAGGGGAATTATATGGGTATATTAAATTAATAATCGGTGTATATTTAGCTATACTTAGATTGGTTGCGAAGGTAAATACGGATAAGGTCTATGAACAATTCTATATCTTTTCAAATTGTAGCTGCCTTCCCTCTCCCTGCCTAGGTATAATTAAGATCAGTGCCTGTACTTGTACTCATATCTTCTGCAGGGTTCT